CGGCGCCCCGGGAGGAGGAAGCGTGGTACATCCTGCCGCTGCCGCTGCTGCCGTTCTTGCGGTGAGCGGGGCGTGGGTGGTGCGGTGGCCTGCTGCTTCTGCTGGAGTGACGGTCGCCGTTGCTGCCGTGGTGGTGGGGGTAGTGGGGCGGGTGCTGGTGGTGCTCTTGGTGTTGGTTGCTGAACGAAGGGCTGTGGTGGTGCTGGTGGTGAGGGGGCCGGAAGGCGCCGCCGGCGCCGCCGTCTGCGTGGCGGGGGGGCAGGAAGCTGAGGCCGTGGGATCTCGCCTTGTTGTTGGCGAGTGGGTCGCGAGAGAGACTAAATGCGTGCAGAGGAGAGCAGCAAGTTCAGACGCGGACGGGATGCAGGAGGAAAGTTGAAAAATAAACAAGGAGCTGCACGACAGGAAGGACAGTTGGACATGAACCATTGCGTATTAATACAGCAATTACCTTTCTTTTCGGTCGCGTTCTCAAGTGCGGGCGGTAACTGCACAACTACTGTACGCACGTAACCGTGCTAACAAATGACGAACGTGCCAGCAGCAGCACCGGGTGTGCATCATGACTCAGTATCTCTCAGGACCACAGAATGAAGCACGAACTAGTGGTTGAGGGTGGACATAAACACAAAACGTATGGAAAACGAGCAACCAATCACTGGAATCTTACCGACTCTTCATTTACGGCAGCATAGTGCCTGAGTAGACACCAAGCTCCTTGATTTTTTTCAAAACAAAGAAGGGCTCGGGCAAACCGACACTTTTTATCAGTGCCGAGCATTACGTTTCGTGAGACAAGGTTGTACTGCTGCTGTTCGCACATTTTTGTTCCACATGGCGTCCCCGTCCCCAACTTCAACATGTCAAACCGAGAATTGATGTGCATACGTCACCGAGCGAAGAAAAAAATGGCCGCGAACAGAGCAGCAGTATTAGCACGCTCACAGGGACGAGCTACAATGTGACATTTCCACGACGCGCCAGATGTTTCCACCCAGGTGTCATCTCCACTCCCGGCCAACTGCTCTCGCAGAAAATCAAAAATTACTCAACTATGATTCGACATACACACCTGTCCCGCCGGTAGGGCGAAGACATCTGATCGGACAAGCAACACCCACTGCTGCTGCTTGTACAAGTGACCGCCAAAGCATTGCCACGAATCTTCAAAAGAGTAGAAACGTACTAATATCTGTAGGATCGTGATTCAAGAGCTGGCCGACAACATAAATCGCACCTTCCTCCGACAATCGGGGCGGCTCTGTCCACCACCATCATGTCATCCGCGCCGCCGCCGCCGACCCCAAGCCCTGCGACGCCGCCGCCCACGCGAGCCGGCACCCCGTGCTGGTTGGTCTTGCGCTTGAGCGCGTGCAAGAGCTCCGGCTCGTCCCTACGGAAGAACGCATGCTTGTAGATCCACACGCTTCTCTCCTGTTCATTCGCACGGAATTGTTGTGTGGTGCAACATGTGGTGTCAGCATCCGGTGGGCATGTATGCATCAAAGATGGAACGTCTATATAATCATGTGCCTCAACACACTTGCGCAGGTGCAAATGCTGCTGCGTACGCACAACATGCGTTGTGCTTCTGCCACAAGAAGGGATGCATCTCGTGTGTGTGTGCGCAAAATGAGTGTCAAAGTACTCAACGCAGCAAATAATGATTTGTCAGTTCGTCGTCAGGGCGGTACTGCTGTTGGGGGGGTGGTCTTGTGTGCTGCACTGGACGAACAAGCAACCACAAATGCCACCATGTGAGAGAGAGAACATGAGCAACACGTTCTTGGAGGAAAAAAAACTATGTGGCCCACTTAGAAACAAAAACTCGAGGAAACTGATTGATCGCCCCACGAGAGGCGGGGGTGCTGCTGTTGCTGCTGTCGCAGTGTTGCGGTAGCTTGGCACCCGCCACCACACTCCGTAAAATGTGCGAAGAGCGAGGGAACTCGCTCCACACTTTTGTATGCGCCGAATGTTCAACCATGCACACTATCATCTCCCGCCAGCCACCCGTTTTCCATGTTTTTGGTTCAACCACAAATACAAGTACTTTCTACTTTCTGCAGAAACCTTTCTAGGTCCTGGTCCTGAGAAAGAGTGGATTGAAGAACAACACAACAAATGAAATCCCATGCCAAGCATCTCTTATCCGGCAGTGCAGCAGCTGCCGCCCGGGGACATATTTCGGTCGAGATACCACGGCACGGGGGTGACGGCACCAGGGAAGATATTGCCGAACGCTGCTGCTGCTGCTGCTGCTGTGGATTCAATTTTCGGTGGTCGACTTGCTCACCCAAAGAATCAACGACAAAAATCTTTATCTTTTCTGGGGCGCGAGTTGCAGGCGGCTGGGAACCACGCGTCCCTGTGCCCCAGCGTCAGCACCCCCACGAGCACCACCAAAAATCGCTGTGCGCGTCAACGCCCACTGCTGCTGCTTTGTTGTGCAGCTGCAGAACAAGAGGCGCTGTAGCGGACTCTCTCTTTTGTTGCCGTTGTGTTTGGCATCTTTGATCCTCCTGTGTAGTTGTTCCAATCACAACCACTAGCCGTCGGTATGCAACACGTGTGCTATGCAGTAACCACGCACCTTGCTGATCTTTTTGAAGCTGTAGAAGTTGAGCTGACGCACGAGGCTCTGAAACCTTGAGTGTCGGAAGTACTTTGGGAGGATGTCCTGCTCCAGTCGTCTCGGGTCCTTCACTTCGAACGCAGTACCATCTGAGACAGCCAGGGTGCGGGTGCAGGCAAAGGAAGGCAGTAGTTTGTCTTTTGGCACCAGCAGCAGCAGCAGCAGCGAAAACAAAATGTATCTCTCTCGGAAATTCTTCGATCCCGAGATAGATCCCCACCAACAAATCATGCAAATTGAAGGAGCCAACACACAAAGCTCTTTCGGCGGAACAGAACAAGGAAGAAGGAACAAAGGCTCTCTCTCGTGCTCTCCTCGGTGGCACCAACACAGAGACAAATCACGCTCACGATCCACGCACCACACGCCACAAGCAGCGGGACAGCAAAGCATCTAGCGAGAGGGTGCCAGTAGGTTACTTTCCCGCGTCCCGACCCCTCTCCCCAAGCGTCAACTAGCAGAATATGAACAAACGTGCACGTGGTCGCCGGTGGTGAGAGACAGACACGAAGGTTGGTTTGCTCGGGTTCAACTTGTGATGGAGTGACGTCTGTTCAAAAAATAAAAAAACAGCGAAGAACCGCCAGCAGCAGCGCGCCGCCGCCGCCGCAGCAGCAGCGCAGCGGCTGGCCACGGTGAGGCCCTGCCGTGGTAGGGGTGGATGTTACTCAAGAAGCGCGGCGCAAGTCTCTCGATGTCGGCGAGCGCGCGCGAGACAGACAGACAGCCATGAGGAAGGTGCAGAACATTTCCCTGGTACGGTCGCTCTGTCTCGTTCCAGCGACGTTTCTTCGTAGAACATTTTTTGAAGCGCGATCATGCGATACAGGCACGTCAACAACTACCGACAAGAGACCCAAGCTCTGGAGACAAGTCTCGCACGCCGCTGACCTGCAGCCGCGCCGTGGCAGCCTCGACCAGGTGCCTGCGACCCTGGCTGCGCCCACGAGCACACTGCGCTTCAACCTCCCCCGCTCACAGCCAAATAAGCAGGGCGACGTACTCGCGTGTGCAGTTTCGGTTGTACGAATACAAATTGAGAAAAACAAAAACAAAAAGGTCAAACGTCTCACTCACCAGCGACGAACCCCACGATGCTGTCGCACTCTCCCTGGACCATCTGGAACAGCTTCCGCACGAAGGAGGTCACGGAGCCAGCGGACATGACGTCCATGCCGGGCACGTCGCCGCTGCGGGAGTAGGCGTCCTCGTCGTGATCTAGCTCGTTCCGGTCATGCCGGTGCTCAAGTGCTACAACCATCCCGGCTGCTGCCTTTGTTCCACGCAGGGAACACAAAACGTCTCGCGTTTCCAGAAAACTTCAACACAGCAGTCACTGCTGTCGCTGGCCAACGGTCTAGATATCTCACTGCCGACTGCTCCCGAGTGGTAGAAGCGGATGTACGCGCCTGTGACTCGCGTCGGAGCAGCGCCACGAGGGTGTCTTTGAGCCGTGCCTGGCTTTTGACTTAAGCGGATGTGTATGTGTGTATGTGCTGACAGAAAGCAGCACAAGGACGAGAAAGAAAAAAAAAAGTGGATATATGTGACGACGCCAAGTCCCGACCACCACACACAAAAAATTGAAATCGGGTGGTCATGCAGCCATCCATGCATGCATGTCGATATTCACGGGCCGGGAGAGAGCTTCGGCGGGCCTCTTCGCCAGGGCTGGCGTCCTTACTTCTTCCTGGCTTGGCGTTTGTTGCGTTGTGTTGACGTAATTTCGCATCATAGGAACGTACAGGGCACCAAGAACATTGCAGAAAACATCTGAGGGTAGTGTGGCGCGTTACGTTTTGTTTTCGAGTCAGACGCTGCTACAAGTTGTTCTGCCCCGCAACGAACAACGAACTGACTGACTGAATAATGAACGTTCCTTGATTGACCACGGCGACACAACTTCGGCCGCACTTCTGTTTGGCTCCAGCCCGCCGGTGTTGTCACTGATGTCATTGAGAATCTAAATGCGCACCCAACCAACAACGAGCACATCATGCATACACGCACGCACGTATGCATAGACTCAGTAGTGTATTTAGTAACTACGTGTCATGCGTGAAACTTGGGCAAAGAACAACTACGAGAGTATACAGATCTAACTCGCTTTTGGTCGGTTGTCTGCTTTCCTTCGACTCACCTTAATGAAGCAGAGTAAGGACGTGACACCAGGCATGTTTCATGGATGAAAAAAAAAAATCTCCCATCATTGGATTCTGCCGTCTGCCCCGCTGGCCCCTATCCTCTACTTCTTCTACTGATAGCTAGACGACCCAACTGGCGTTACACGCGATAGGCTGTATCCCAACGGTTTCTCTGCAACCTGCTCGCGAGGTCGGGCGCGCCGGCGACCACCCCGCAGGAAATGGCGAAGGAGTTCACGGAGGCCCTGCTCGGCGCGGCGGAGACGGAGCTGTCTGAGGAACCCCGGAGGCGGCGCACCACGGAATGGAACATGACCATCGCGGCACGGACAGCCCTGGCGACCGCCCTTGACAAGCGACGGGCTGCGCGACATTCCTTCAAGGCCGGACCGAACGCAGCAACGTGGAGGATCCTCAAAGCAACGTGCAAGGGGGTGAAGGCAACAATCGCAACGAGCATCTACGACCACCTGGAAAGATACGTGACGGAGCTCGAAGCGATCTACCAGGACCGCGACATGCGGGGGCTGTACCAACACCTCAAGCGGTCAACGGGCCTCAGCGGGAGACAAGCTGGGGGGCAGCAGTTCGTTACAGACGAGAACGGCGTGCTACTCCG